CCAAGACCAAGTGGGATTTATTCCAGGTATGAAAGGCTGATTCCAAATTTTTAAATCTATCAATGTAATGCATCACATTAACAAACAAAAGAAAAATCTTATGACCATATAAATCACCACACAAAAATATTTGATAAAATCCAGCATCAAATCATGATTAGAACTCTCACCAAACTAAGAATAGTAGGAAACTCTCTCAATTTGAGAAAGAATGTCTACAAATAAACCTATGGTTAACATTATACTTAAAGGTAAGAAACTGGTCAATTTCTCCCTGAGTTCAGGAACAAAACAAAGATGTCCTTTCTTAACACTCCTATTCAATGTTGTACTGAAAGTCCTCGCTAGTTCAATAAGGCAAGAAACAGAAATAAGAGGTATATTGCCATGGTCTAAATGTTTATATCCCCTCAAAATTCAAATATTGAGTTCCTCACCCGCAAGGTGAAAGTTTTGGGAGGTGGGGCCTTTGAGAGGTAATTAGATCATGGGGACAGTGCCTTCATTTGGGGGATTAGTACCCTTATAAAAGAGGCCTGAGAAACATCCCTCACATCTTTAACCACATGAAGTCAGAGTGAGAAGACAGCTGTTGATGAGGAAGGGGGCCCTCATCAGCCACTAAATCTGCCTGCACTTGATCTTGGACTCCTATCCTTTAGAACGGAGAAATAAATTTCTGTTGTTTATAAGATACACACTTCATGATATTTTGCTATAGCAGCCCAAATAGAATAAGACATATATAAATCAGAAAAGAAAAAATAAAACTCTTTCTGTTTACAGATGACATGATTGTCTATACTGAAAATCCAAAAAATCAACAACAAAACTCCTGAAACCAATAAGTGAGTTTGGCAATGACACAGGATAGGAGGTTAACATGCAAAATACAAATGTGTTTCTATACATGTGTATACAAATTGCCACAACTATAGTGACTTAAAACAACATGAATGTATCTTCTTACAATTCTGGAGGGTGGAAGTATGAAATCGTTTTAGATGAGCTAAGATCAAGGTGTCAGCAACGCTGCATTCCTTCTGGATACTCTACAGAAAAATCCATTTACTTGCCATTTTTAGCTCCTAGAGGCCACTTGCATTATGTGGCTCATGGACTCAACCTATTTTCTGAATGAGGAGCACCACATCTGCAAACCTTTCTTTGATTCTCTGAACTCTGTTTCCATCATCACATCTCCTTCTCTGATTCTGACTCTTCTGCCTCACTCTTGTAAGTATCCTAATGATTACATTGGATCCACCCAGATAAGCCAGGATAATCTCCCCATCTCAAAATCCTTAACCACATCTGCAAAGTGCATTTTGCAATTTAAGGTTAAATATTCACAGATTTGGGGCATTAAGGCATGGACATCTTTGGGGGCCATTTTTCTGTCTACCACAACCAGCAATGAATAATTGAAATTTAAAATTAAAAAAATATATATCATTTATGTTAGCACTCCTCAAAATAAAATAGGTGTATATCTAACAATATATATGAGAGCTGTATGTGTAAAGCTACAAAACTCTGATGAAAGAAATCAAAGAAGACCTAAATAAATGGAGAGATATTCTATGCTTATGGATTAGAAGATCCAATATTATGAAGATGCCAAACTATCCCAACTTGATCTATAGATTTAATGCAATCCCAACTAGAATCCCACCAAACTATTTTCCAGAAACCAACAAACTGATTCTGAAGTTTATGTGGAAAAGCAAAAGACCCCAGTGTAGCCAACACAATACTGAGGAAGAACAAACCTAGATGACTTGCATTATCAAATTTCAAGGCTTGCATAAGACGCAGACTGTGATCTTGGCAAAAGAATAGACATACAGTTCAATGGAGCCAAAAAGAAAGCCCAGTTAGACCTACACAAATACAGTCAACTGGTTTTTGACAAAGTAGCAAAAACAATTCAGTGGAGAAAGGGTGGTCTTTTTTAAAAATATAGTGATGGAACAATGGAACATGCACACCCCACAGAAGATGAATCCAGACACAGATTTATACTTTTCACAAAAATGAAGTCAAAATGGACTGTAAACCTAAATGTAAAATTTAAAGCTTTAAAATTTCTTGAAGGAAACACAGTAAAATTAAAATTTTCTCTATGATAGATACTGTTAAAACAATGCAAAAAGAAGCCAAAGACTTGAAGACACTATTTTCAGAACTCTGATATTGGACTTGTATTTAAAATATACAAAAATTTCAACAATAAGGAAACAACACAATTTTTAAAAATGAGCAAACATTAACCCAGGAGGCGGAGCTTGCAGTGAGCTGAGATCACGCCACTGCACTCCAGCCTGGGCGACAGAGCGAGACTCAGTCTCAAAAAAAAAAGAGCATACATTTAAAAAAAACAAAATCATGTCCTTTGCAAAAACATGGATGCAGATGGAGGCCATTATCCCAAGACAATTAATGCAGGAACAGAAACCTAAATTCCACATGTTCTCACTTATAAGTGGAAGCTAAAGATTGGGTACTAGAGAACATAAAGATGACAGCAATAGACACTAGGGACATTAAAGGGGGAAGGTTGGGGCAAGGGCTGAAAAACTACCTATTCAATACTAAGCTCACTACCTGGGTGATGGGATCATTTGTACCCCAAACCTTAGCATCACTAATGTATCCATGGAACAAAACTGTGCATGTACCCCATGAATCTAAAATAAAAGTTGAAGTTATTTTTTTAAGTGGGCATAATATATTATTAGAAACCTTACCAAAGGAGATATACAGATAGCAAATAATGATAGGAAAAGATAATTTGTCATCAGATAATTGTAAATTAAAACAAAAATGAGATACCACTATCTATCCATTAGAAAGACTAAAAATCTGAACTGATAGTACCAATTGCTGGTAAGGGTGGAGAGCAACAAAAACTCTCTCAATCATTGCTATTCAGAATACAAAATGGTGCAGCTGCTTTGGATGACCATTGTGACTTCTTACAACACTAAATATAGTTTTACCACATGATCTCGCAATTACACTCCTCAGTATTTATCCAACTGATTTGAAATCTCATGTCCATACAAAAACCTGAACGTAAACGATGACAGCAATTTTATTCATAATCACCAAAAAGTGAAAGCAACCTAGATGATCTCTAATAGGTGAATGGATAAACTGTAGTGCACCCATAAAAAGAATATTATTCAGCAATAAAAAGAAATAAGCTACAAATTCACATAAGGACATGAATGAATTTTAAATACATACTGCTAAGTGGAAAGTTAACATATAAAAGGTATATACTGTATGATTTCAATTTTATGACATTTTGGAAAAAGTAGAACTCTGGAGGCAATAAATCGATCAATATTTGCCAGGCGTTCAGTGGCAGAGAGGGATTGAATAGGTGAAGCATGGGATATTTTTTAGGATGTAAAACTATTCTGTATAATATAATAATTCTGAATATAAGACATTAAACATTTATCAAATCCAGAGAAATTTACAATACAAGGAGTAGGCCTTCATGTATATAAATTTTTAAAAACTCACTGAAGAGATTGGGGAAATCACAGGATTGAATCAACCTCACTAAAGGGGATGGTAGAATAAAGTGCTGACCTAAGCAATTTTTGAAAGAACAAAGGCAAAAGGAACTATAGTTAGCACTGTACTTTCAGTGATAAAATCGATTCCTACAAAGCTACAGGTTAATAATTCTTAAGCCAATATACACTTATATTGGAACTGAACAATTATATAAATGGGTGCTGGATGGTGAGTCAAGTGGATGATGGAAGGGGAGGTTGAAGATAAGCAAGGGGACGAGGCCATATGGTAATGAATTATAGTTGGAGACATCAATATGAACCAATGCTTAGCTTAATAAAGACAGCTACATATGGAAATATTTATAGATATATGGGCATTCATATACATGTATAGGTCTCCTTGCTCTGTCAGCTAAGAAGGCCTAGAAGCAAGGAGACCCAGTAGCAAAGAACAGACCTAGTATCCTAACCTTGATTTCTAACACCATTCTTTAATCAAAGGAACCAGAACTCCCTAGAGAAATGGCTGATTCTAGGACAGGGGCAAAGAACATACTAGATGAGCCCTGAGCATCTTGAAGTACCCAAACAAACAAAGAAACAAAAAGACAATGATGTGGTTATATCAAAGGGATATAGGAACCAACTAGAAAAGGTCCTAGTGGCCAAACTGGAACAATTTGAGTAATAAAGTAAACCAAATTAGTATTGAATTATAACCCAAAATATAAAATAATATCCATGAGTTTATGCCAATGTAAATCAATTATTTGAATAGATAAATATATAAAAACTAACAAATCTGTGTAGAGGAACTCCAAATAATGTATGTAGATGCTCACCATTAAGGAGACTGAGCATAACTACCCACTCCTTAAGTGTGGGTTGCACATAGTGACTTTCTTTCAAAGAGTAGCATATGAAAGTGGAGAAAAAAGAATTACCACCATCAATTGTTATCCACAAGGGATTGGTTCCAGGACCTCATGGATACCAAAACCCAATGCTGCCCAAGTCCTCTGTTTAAAAAGGCATGATATTTGCACATAAACCACACACATCCTCTCATATACTTTAAATGATCTCTAGATTACTTATAATACCTAATATAATGTGGATGCTGTGTAAATAGTTGTTACACTATATTGCTTTTACTTGTATTATTTTTTATTGTTGCTGGTGCTTTTTTCTCTGAACATTTTTTATCTATGGTTGATTGTATCTGCAGGAACCCACAGATATGGAGGGCCAACTATAAATTTGCAGGAGAGAAACCTGACAAATACTGCCACGAGCCAAGTGACCAAGGTTAACGTCAATAGTGACAAGCCATATTGATGTAATATGAAGAGAATGGCATTTTATATCTATGGTTTTCTCACAAAGGCAGATTACCCAAGTCTAACCATCAGAAAAATATCAGACAAATCCCAATTATGGGACATTTTACTCAGAAGATCTTACCAATGCTCCTCAAATTCTCAAGGTCATCAAACAAAGGAGATTCTAAGCATCACAACCAAAAAGAAGTAAAGATTCATGATGACTAAGTGTGATGTGGCATTCTGGGTGGGATTCTGGAACAGAAAAACGACATTAGGGAAAAACAAGAAATCTGAATAAAGTACGAGTTTCAGTTAATAAACTTTCTGTACTATCTTCACAATAATTCTGTAATCCTAAACCTGGCCTCAAATTAAAAGTTTATTTTGAAATATTCTAGGGAAACCAACATCAGTAAGAGACATACAATTGCATATCATGAATTGCTCTGGCTTGCCTTAACTGAGACTATATTCATAAAAAGTTATCTTACCCTAACAAAAGTTTCATAGGTCACTTCTGATAACTCACTGATTACCAAAATAAGAGTCTCTTCTGACTAGTTTTCTGAAATAGTTTTAGTTTCCAGGTTCTCAAGACTTTGAGAGATTTTGATTAATATCATTTAAAAACTTAATACAGCTCATCAAGGAAAGAATTACTCATCAAGGAATATATCTTTAAATATGTCTGAGCAGGGAACTCTAGTTAGCAGATCCATCTCCAGAGTTAAGTCAATGCTTTTGTTATAATAAAACTTAGTAATTTGTTTGCTTGAACTGAATTCTCACTTGATTACTTTCAGCAACCTCTATCTAAAACAAATAATGTTCATACATTTCCCAAAATGATAAATCATTTGCAGTAATATTAATCTGGTATTTTAATGTATATTTTTAGATAAACCATATGTAGCTTTGCCAATGAGAGACAAAAACAACACTAATTCAAACCAACTGAGGTAGAGACTTATCTCTTACCTTACATCAGGCAATGATAAATTCCAAATGGAGTAAAAATTAAAATATATAAATGAAGTTATAGACATGCTAGAAAAAATATTATGCTAGAAAATATATAAATGAAGTTATAGACATGCTAGAAAAAAATATATGGATGCAGCTGGAAACCATCATTCTCAGCAAACTATCGCAAGAACAGAAAACCAAATATCGCATGTTCTTACTCATAGGTGGGAACTGAACAATGAGATCACTTGGACACAGGAAGGGGAGCATCACACACCGGGTCCTATTGTGGGGAGGGGGGAGTGGGAAGCGATTGCATTAGGAGGTATACCTAATGTAAATGACAAGTTAATGAGTGCAGCACACCAACATGGCACATGTATACATATGTAACAAACCTGCACATTGTGCACATGTACCCTAGAACTTAAAGTATAATTTAAAAAAATTTTATTCCTATAAACTAGAAGTGAAGAAGTTAATTGATATGCATAAGCAATAAGATAAAATAGATTTGAATACTTCATAAAAATTTGATATTTCTATATGACAAAAATGATCATAAATTAATTGAAGTGAAAGTAAAAATAATATTTGGAGCAAGCAATTTAAAATGTTATTATGTAGGACTGAGTTCCCCAATATATAGAAATACATTTTAGGCCGGGTGCAATGGCTCACTCCTGTAATCTCAGCACTTTGGGAGGTGGAGGTGGGTGGATCACTTGAGGCCAAGAGTTCGAAACCAGCCTGGCAACCATGTTGAAGCCCCTTCTCTACTAAAAATACAAAAATTAGCTGGTCATGGTGGTGCACGTCTGAGTCCCAGGTACTTGGGAGGCTGAGACACGAGAAACGCTTGAACCCAGGAGGCTGCAGTGAGCCAAGACTGCACTACTGCACTCCAGCCTGGGCAACAGAGTGAGACTCTGTCTCAGAAAAAAAAACAAAAACAAAAACATGTTTTTGAATTATCAAGAAATAGGCAAATGTTACCTAAAAATGGACAAAGAGTATACACAGATAGATCACAGGAAAGCAATGCATAAGGATTTAAATTATATTAAAGGATGTTTAACTTTAGGGACAGAAGAAATACCGACTACTCTAGAATGAAAACTCTATTATTGTAAACTAGTTTTTCAAAGGTGAAAATACAGTAGGTAATGTACTATGTTGGTAATATTGGTGCAAACAAGTATTCTCAGACACTGCACTTTTATGGCATACAATTGAGTAACATCTAAAATTTTAAATGCATACACCTTTGATTCAGAAATTCCACCTAAAATAACATTCAAATGATGTATTTACATGTGTACACAAAAATATCATGTAAAGGATGGGCATAACAATATTGTTCATACTAGAAGAATTTAAATCAACATCAAGGTCCATTAATATGAAAATAGTTGAATAAATTGAGTTCACAGTTTCAGATTTCTTTGCAGTGACATGCAATGGTTTTACAATATACTATTAGTGAAATATGTGTATATTAATCTATTACTATGTAAAATTTAAGTATACACACACACACACACACCATCACATATCCACTTGAATGTACTTTAAAAGAATAGATTTTGGCCAGACACAATAACTCGTATCTGTAATCTCACCACTTTGGAAGGCTGAGGTGGGCAGATCAAAGGTCAGGAGTTCGAAACCAACCTGAACAACATGGTGAAACCCCGTCTCTACTAAAAATACAAAAATTAGCTGGACTTGGTGGTGCGCACCTGTAATCTCAGCTACTGAGGTGGTTGAGGCAGGAGAATCGCTTGAACCCGGGAGGGCAGAAGTTGCAGTGAGTCCAGATCCCATCACTGCACTATAGTCTAGGCAACAGAGGGAGACTCCGTCTTTAAAAAAAAAAAAATACAGTTTGATTTTTATGTATATTCTGTTTTAGAGCTACGATTATTGCCTGGCTTGATCTGGGAAAGACACAATAAATCAATAATACTTAAGCATGAATGATTTATATTATCTAATGTGTCAGTCAAGGCAGACTGGATGCTGCCATAGTAAACAAGCAACCTTACAATTTTAGAAGCCTGAAGCAACAAAGGTGTGTTTCTTGCTCCTGCTACCTGACATGCAATATAGTCCTTCACCACTAGTCACAATCTATCTATTCATTTCTTTCTTCCATGTGTTTTTCAAATTTCTTAAAATTATAGTCAAGGGCAAAGGCAGGGCATTTATAGCATGATGAGTCATGGTGGATCTCACTTTCTTAGACATTAGATTCAGTTTGTAGACCTTAGTAGGTCAGCCTTGAGCTTGCTTCACATCATTCTTGCCCAGTGACTCCAGCTAATGGTGACGTCATCATCTGAATCATGGTGAGGCATTCTGGCAGAAGGTTGAGAAGATGGCAAATCATAACTGGTAGTGACACATATCACTTTCACTAATATTTTATTGACTGGCACATTCTATGGCAAATTCTTCTGTCCTCCTAAGGATGAAGAAGTGTGTCCTCCTAAGGATGAAGAAGTGTATCCTACTGTTTTGCCAGAAAATAGAAAATCAGAATATTAGTGAACAAGCACTTAAATTTAAATGACCTCTGAATCCTTGATCCCATCAACTACTGCCTCCTTGATAGCTTTTTTTTATATATTGAAGAGATTTATTCTGAGCCAAAGATGAGTGACCATGACCTGTGACACAGCCCTCAGGAGAACATGTGCCCAAGGTGGTCTGGGTGCAGCTTGGTTTTGTACATTTTAGGAAGGCATGAGACTTCAATCAATTACATTTCAGAAATACATTGGTTTGGTCGAGAAAGGTGGGACAACTCAAAGCTGGAGGGTGGGGGGATGCTTCCAGCTTATAGGTGGATTTTTACATTTTCTGGTTGACAAGTGGCAGAGTTTAAAGACCTGGGATCAACAGAAAGAAAAGTCTTGGTTAGGATAACAGATTGTGGAGATCCAAGTTCTTATTTGCAAAGGAATCCTTCAGGTAAAAGACTTCAGAACAATAGACTGTAAAATGTTTCTTGTTTCTTATCAGACTTATCAGACTGAAAGTCTGTGTTGCTGTTAATGCCAGAGAGGTATAATGAGGCATGTCCGACCCCCACTTCCAGTCATGGCCTGAAACAGTCTCTCAGGTTAAATGTTAAAAGAGCCCTGAATGAAGGAAGTCCATTCAGATGGTTGGTTGGCCAGTGGATGGGGGCCAGGATGGGGGGGTGTGCAGAAATGCTTAGAATTTTATTTTTGGCCAAGATTTGCCAGAAGCAACATCAAAGGCCAGCAAATCTTTATTTTATCCCACAGAGTTGCCAGGATGGTTTGGCTACCTGCCCCACGACCACCCAGTCCTTTGATGGGACTCCCTATCACGGAGAGCATTAAGACTTATAGACAATTAATTGTTCTAGGCCAAACAGAAATAGATGTGGACATTCATCCATCACCTCTTAAAATGATTATTTTAAGTAAAAAGCCAACAAACAAAAACCAAAAGGCAAAGTTACAAGACTGACTTATTTTTAATTTCTATGTGTTAAGCTACTTTAAGCTCGGTTTTCATTACAGACTTTTAGCCATTAGCTTTACAAAATGTAAGCATTGTTCTGCAACTTATAACTATGAGTATTATACCCAGGAAGCTTTGTCATGAGGTATCTTTATCCTGTCAGTAAATATTTTCTTTTAATTGTATGGGCAGGAGAAAATTATTTGTGGCTGGGTTGGATGTAATAGTGACACATAACATCTTAGAAGGCTTGTTTTACCAGCTGTTTCAGCATCTTTGTATCCCTCCTTGGTTTGGAGAGTCTTTTTAAATAAGTCATTAATCTTCCTAAAATTTTGTGTCTCCCTTTATACTGCGTCCAACTCTTCAATTTATAACACAAATTATCTCCCTTTCTAAAGTACAATTTTAAAAACTTCCTCCACCTTTGGTCCTAATTGATCTATCGTTGAACTTCTTTCCTCCATTTGTTATCCAAATTTCTTTCTTTTTTTTCTTTTTCTTTTTTTTTTTTTTGGATACAGAGTCTTGCTCTGTTGGCCAGGCTAGAGTCCAGGGGCATGATCTCGGGTCACTGCAACCTCTGCCTCCTGGATTCAAGTGTCCTGCGTAGTTGGGATTAGAGGCATGTGCCACCATGCCCAGCTAATTTTTGTATTTTTAGTAGAGATGGGGTTTCACCATGTTTCCCAGGCTCGTCTCAAACTCCTGACCTCGTGATCCACCCGCCTTGGCCTCCAAAAGTGCTGGGATTACAGGCATTAGCCAAACTTCTTAAAAATGTAGCCAACACTCTTTACTTTCTCAGCTTTCATCCACTTCCCAACTATTGCAATCTGGCTTCCACCACCTCCACTCTATAAAAGAAAATTTGATGAGATTTCACCAAGATGGCAGAATAGGAACAGCTCCAATCTGCAGCTCCCAGCGTGACTGATGCAGAAGATGGGTGATTTCTGCATTTCCAACTGAGGTACCTGGTTCATCTCATTCAGACTGATCGGAAAGTGGGTGCAGCACACGGAGGGCCAGCCGAAGCAGGGAAGGGAATCACCTCACCAGGGAAGCACAAGAGGTCGGGGGATTTCCCTTTCCTAGCCAAGGGAAGCCGTGACAGACTGTACCAGGAAAATCGGGACACTGCTACCTAAACACTGCACTTTTCCAGTGGTTTCAGCAAATGGCACACCAGGAGATTATATCCTGCACCTGGCTCAGTGGGTCTGACGCCCACAGAGCCTTACTCACTGCTAATTCAAGATCGAACTGCAAGGCGGCAAGCCTGGCTGTGGAAGGGGTGTCCACCATTGCTGAGGCTTGAGTAGGTAAACAAAACAGCCAGGAAGCTTGAACTGTGTGGAGCCCACTGTAGCTCAATGAGGCCTACCTGCCTCTATGGACTCCACCTCTGTGGCAGGGCATAGCTGAACAAAAGGCAGCAGAAACTTTCGCAGACTTAAACATCCCTCTCTGACAGCTCTGAAGAGAGCAGCGCTTGTCTCAGCATGGTGTTTGAACTCTGAGAATGGACCGACTGCCTCCTCAAGTGGGCCCCTGACCCCCGTGTAGCCTAACTTGAAGACACCTCCCAGTAGGGGCCAACTGAAACCTCATACTGCTGGGTGCCCCTCTGAGACAAAACTTCCAGAAGAAGGATCAGGGAGCAATATCTGCTGTTCTGCAATGTTTGCTGTTAGGCAGCCTCTGCTGGTGATACCCAGGCAAACAAGGTCTGGAGTGGACCTCCAGCAAACTCCAACAGACCTGCAACTGAGGGACCTGATTGTTAGAAGGAAAACTAACAAACAGAAAGGAATAGCATCAAAATCAACAAAAAGGACATCCACACCAAAATCCCGTCTGTAGGTCACCATCATCAAAAACCAAAGGTAGGTAAAACCACAAAGATGGGGAGAAACCAGAGCAGAAAAGCTGAAAATTCTAAAAACCAGAGTGTCCCTTCCCCTCCAAAGGATTGCAGCTCCTCAACAGCAACGGAACAAAGCAGGGCAGAGAATGACTTTAACCAGTCGACAGAAGTAGGCTTCAGAAAGTCGGTAATAACAAACTTCTCCGAGCTAAAGGAGGATGTTCGAATACATCACAAAGAAGCTAAAAACCTTGAAAAAAGATTAAACAAATGGTTAACTAGAATAAAAAGTGTAGAGAAGACCTTAAATGACCTGATGGAGCTGAAACCATGGCACAAGAACTATGTGACGCATGCACAAGCTTCAGTAGCCGATTCGATCAAGTGGAAGAAAGGGTATCAGTGATTGAAGATCAAATGAATGAAAAGAAGCAAGAAGAGAAGTTTAGAGAAAAAAGACTAAAAAGAAACGAACAAAGCCTTCAATAAATATGGGACTGTGTGAAAAGACCAAATCTGCATTTGATTGGTGTACCTGAAAGTGACGGGGAGAATGGAACCAAGCTGGAAAACACTCTTCGGGATATTACCCAGGAGAGCTTCCCCAACCTAGCAAGGCAGGCCAACATTCAAGTTCAGGAAATACAGAGAACGCCACAAAGATACTCCTCGAGAAGAGCAACCCCAAGACACATAATTGTCAGATCAACCAACATTGAAATGAAGGAAAAAACGCTATTGGCAGCCACAGAGAAAGGTCGGGTTACCCATAAAGAGAAGCCCATCAGAATAACAGCAGATGTCTCAGCAGAAACTCTTCAAGCCAGAAGAGTGGGGACCAATATTCAACATTCTTAAAGGAAAGAATTTTCAATCCAGAATTTCATATCCCGCCAAACTAAGCTTCATAAGTGAAGGAGAAATAAAATCCTTTACAGACAAGCAAATGCTGAGAGATTTTGTCACTACCAGGCCTACCTTACAAGAGCTCCTGAGGAAAGCACTAAACATGGAAAGGAACAACTGGTACCAGCCACTACAAAAACATGCCAAATTGTAAAGACAATTGATGCTAACAAGAAACTGCATCAACTAACAGTCAAAATAAACAGCTAACATCATAATGACAGGATCAAATTCACACATAACAGTATCAACCTTAAATGTAAATGGGTTAAATGTCCCAATTAAAAGACACAGATTGGAAAATTGGATAAAAAGTCAAGACCTATCAGTGTGCTGTATTCAGAAGACCCATCTCATGTGCAAAGACACACATAGGTTCAAAATAAAGGGGTGGAGGAAAATCTACCAAGCAAATGGAAAGCAAAAAAAAGTGGGGGTTGCAATCTTACTCTCATAAAACAGACTTTAAACCACCAAAGATCAAAAGATACAAAGAAGACCATT